GCGTCGGACAACAGAAATAAAACAAATGAGGGAGACCGAAGGGCGAAGACCAGCTGACCGAGAGAGACTAATAGAGACATAGGGGAAGGAGGGGAGGGAGGGAAAGGGGGGGTAGAAGGGAGATGGGGGAGGGGGAGGGGGGGTTGTCGTAAGGGAGATGGAGAGGGGGAAGGGGGGGTTGTTAGAAGAGATTAGGGGGAGGTGAAGGAGGGTTGGGTAGAAGGGAGATGGAGAGGGGGTTGTAGAAGGGAGATAGGGGGAGGGGGGAGAAAGGGGAGTTGGTAGGGGGGAGTAGATGGGGGAAGTAGGGAAGGAGAGGGAGAAGAAGGGAGGGACAGGGCACAATAGAAGGAGGGTAGAGGGAGGCAGGGCGTTGAAGACGTTGAAGAAAAAGAAGAAGACGAAGAAAAACGAAGAAAAAGAAGAAGAAGAAGAAAGAAGGAGAAGAAGAAGAAAAAGAAGAAGAAGAAGAAGAAGAAGAAGAAGAAGATGAAAGAGGAAAGACTAAGGAAAAGACAAAGAAAAAGACGAAGAAAAAGCATGAAAAGAAGAGGAATAGAAGTAGAAAGATGTCGGTAGGTACGGAAGGGGAGAAAGAGAAAGGCTAGAGAGGAACAGGTAAAATGAGAAAAAGAGGGAGATAAAAGACGGAACGGGGAGTGAAATAGAGGAGGACGCACGGCCAATTACTCGCCTTCGGAACTGTCGTGAGTGATTTCATGTCTTGGAGTGAGTGGAAACGAATGTTTACTCTGTTGATTTTCTCGCCCTTTGATTTGCGTGTGTGTGTGGTTTGTGTGTTTGTGTGTGTGTGTGTTGGTGTGTGGGTGTGTGTGTTTGTGTGTGTTGTGTGTGTGTGTTGTTGTGTGTTTGGTGTGTGTGTTGGTGTGTGTGTGTGTGTCTTCTTCCTCTTCCCTGCTCCATCTCTAATCCTTCTCTATCCCTCTTCACATCTCCCTCTCTCTCGCCTTTCCCCTCCCCCTCTCCCTCTCACTTCATACTCCTCTCCTCTCCTTCTCCCTCTTTTCCCCAACTACCCTTCACCCTCTCGCTCTACCCTCTTCCTCTCCCTCTCCCATCTCCTTCCGCACCAACCTCTCCCTCTCCTTCACCCTCTCCCTCTCCCTCTCCCTCTCCCTCTCCTCCCCCTCCCCCTCATCTTCTCTCTCCTTCTCTCTCTATCCCTCACCCTCTCCCTCTCCTTCTCTCTCCTTCTCCCTCTCCCTCTCCCTCTCCCTCTCCCTCTCCCTCTCCTTGCTCCCTCCCTCTCCCTCTTCCCTCTCCCTCTCCCTCTCCCTCTCCTCCCCCTCTTCCTCTCCTTCTCCCTCTCCTTCTCCCTCTCCTCTCTCCTTCTCTCACCCCTTCACTCTCTCCCTCTCCTCTCTCTCTTCCTCACCCTCTCCCTCTCCCTCTCTCTCTATCCCTCACCCTCTCTCTCTCTCTCTCCTCCATTTCTTACTCCCTCACCTCTCCCTCTCCCTTCATCTCCTCCCTCTCCCTCTCCCTCACCCTCTCCCTCGCTCTCTCCATTTCCTTACCTCCCCACCCTCTCCCTCCCTCTCCTCTCCGTCTCCCTCTCCTTCTCCCTCTCCCTCACCTCTCCCTCTCTCCTCATTTCTTCTCCGCTCCCCTCTGCCCCTCCTTCTCCCCCTCGTCTCCCTCTCTTCCTATTTGTCCTTGCGGTCCCTCATCCTCGCCTTTCCTTCTCCTTCCCTCCTTCCGCTGACTGACATAATCTGTCCTCCAATTAGCGTTGACTTCCTGCATGCCTCTCTTCGTGTCCTCGTGTTTCCTTTGCCACTTCAGTGTTCCTCTGCATTGTTTCGGCTGTTCTTTCACCTCCCTCTTTCGCACTCCGCGGATCGCCGAGTGAGTGTAAAATGATGATACAGGGAGGAGGGAGGGAAGGAGAGGAGGGAGAGAAGTGAATGGGAATGAAGACCAGTCGAGAGAGAGGGGAGAGATAATGTGTTAGTATATAACAACCACACCACA